CGTTTTTTGATTTACGATGAGTACCTTATAACGAGGAGGCCCGCTGCATTTCTCGAGTTTTCAAGACTCCTCCCAAATGAGTTTGAAGAATTGTACCAGCGCATCGCGAGGACACTGCAGCATTACCCTACCCACGCAGGACCCATTACAGGGCGGCAAAGACTCATGTTGTTCCTTAGGTAGATACCAAAGCCTCTCATCGACGATGACATTTAGTCAGCTATTTTGCAGGTTTGTAGCGAGAGGGGGGACATTCACCTCATGCGCCTTAGATGCGTGTTGTGGGAGATCGACTGTCTCTTGTGTGGTGGCTGAAGTCACCGAAGCGATAATCAGCGGTATTGTCAACTTTCAAAGCGATAAAGCCGCATTGCTTCAGCATACGCGAAAAACAAAATCTTTTGCAAACTTTTTTGTACTTATCTCATGATGTCGTATGAAACCCTACTTTTTTCAGAACTACATGATCTCGCATTTCCTCCAATTACGAGGGATATGATGGAGGAGACGGCTAGACTCACCCAAGAGCGCTATGATTATCCGAGAGGTGTTGCCTTTATGGACGGCAAACATATTGCTATTGACGTTAGTTCCAAAAAATCTTGCAAACGACAACATTAAGCAGTTAAATTCGAGATTTTAGAAGCCTCCGCACTCAGGGAGCTTGTTTTGGAATTACAAAAATTTTTATTCCATCATATTATTGGCAATGACCGACGCCGACTATCGGGTATTGGCTTACGACATCGGGGCGCCAGGTCACGCCGGTGACGCCGGTGTCTACCGTTCCTCGCCTATAAAGGTAGGCAGTAAACATCATTAATCATTACGGCATTGAAATCAATCTCTCCAGAGATGGTTGGATATGAACGACGACGTATTTCCTCCTACAAGATCTCTCGGAAACGTAGGGCCGGTGCAGTACCACGTATTGGTCGACGGCGGCTTCGGCCAAGATTTTCGACTGGTCAGGCCCTACAGGGAATTAGATGCTAACACCCCCGATAGAAGGAGGTTCAATGCAAAATTCAGCGGGTACAAAATAACTCTTTTCCTAGCTTTCTTCTACATATGAATTTTTAGAGCGCGCCGTCTCGTTGAGTCCACCTTCGGTATTCTTGCGCAAAGATTTAGAATTTTGATGCAGCCTATGCATGTCAGCCCCAAAAGGGCGGCGCGAATAGTCACAGCGCTGTTGGTGGGTTAGATGACATGATTAGTTGTACCAAATCGAATTGGTTTTTTTTT